TTTTTCTGTAAGCGATTGAAGTAAGACTACTACAAGAAGTATTGTAATTGTAATGATGCGCCACGTGCTGTGTATCCTCGCTCTCCTGCTCTCATGTGCGTGTGTGCACGTCCTCGCTGAAGAAGTGCCTGCCGCTGATCTTTCCGACCAAGTCCCTGATGCTGAAAATGATAGTGTTGTTAGAGTTATTGAGGGTCCGGAGGGGAAATTAAAGGCAAAAGGTGATTCTAACTGCCCTGATGGTGTTACTACTGGTATTTGTGCTCTTCCTGTTGTGCAACGTGGTGGTGATGCTTTGGAGTGCTCTCCTGGTAAAACTTCTCGTACCCCTGATGGTACTTGTACTTCAGTATCACATCCAGCAGTACGACAACCAGAACTTAGTCATGCTGCGGAGTCAAGAGAGGGATCGGTACACACAGACGTTAATGATCCTGCACATAATAGCAGGCACCCTGTGGGAGGTGATCCTGGTAATAGAGGTAAAAGGGATGTGAAGGATCCAGATGTAAATGTGAAAGGGCCTAAGGTGGATCTAGAGCAAACACAGAAGAGGAAAGAAGAACGGTCTGCTGAAGATACTCAAGAAGGTAGAACACCGCCTGAGGGTGGTAATCAAGCTGGAAGAGATCAGAACCATCAGGCACAAGCTTCTGATCGTGAAACAACTTCACGTTCTCCTGATACTCCTTCTTCAGTAGTTCTTCCTACTACATCACGTACTGATGAGACCACAACTGTTGGTGACACATCGGCCCAACAGATACCAAGTGGTAATCGTTCACAGGATAACAGTGATCAGGGAGATAATGTTAAAGGTGCCAACACACAGAACACGCACACAACAGGGCCAGAAAGTAATGATGGAGAGGACTCTTCTACTTCCAGAACTCAAAGTACAGGTGATACTTCTTCCAGCAATACATCCACAGATGAAGCGCAGAATAATCAGGCTGAAAGTGACCCTAATGTTGCAAAACCATCTGAGGGTGAATCAACCAGTAACGAGGAATCAACCACCACCACAACAACAACAACACTTCCTCCTGAACTCACAAACAACAAGAAGGGTGATGCAGACAGCAGCAGCAGCAGTATGAGTTCTGTGTGGGTGCGTGTGCCACTACTGATTGTGGCTACACTGGCCTGTATTCTTGTGTGCTGATTGAGATGGTGGTGGTGGTGGTGATGTGACTCAGGTCATCCTTTGCTTTCTTTTCTTTTTTCTTGCATGTATCCCTACAGTCTAACTAATCTTTCACCTGTTGGGATTATCTTCTCTTTTTTTGTTTCTT